TATATATATATATATATATATATATATATATATATGTAAAGCCTAGTCTTACTTCCTTATTTCTTCACAATTTTTGTCTGATATCTGTCTGAATTTTGTCTATATTTTAGTCATAAGTGTCAGTACAAGTCAGTAAAGATTATTATTCAGAATCTGAGGGCTACATAAGCTTTTGTTGTTTGTGGATTTCCCATTCCTGCCTCCCGAGTATTTCTGTTTGTTCTAGCTTTTTTTCTCTCTATACCTCTGACTATTTTATCATGATAGCAAAAACCTTACCAGCCATATTTTGAAGCTTTTAGATATTGACAGTAAATGAAAAGATGCAAAATTAATTTTCAATTATTTACCCAAATGAATACTAAGGTAACCAAGACTACCTTTGTATTCATTTCTTGGCAGAGTGCAAGGGCAGATGCAGGAAGTTTTTTCAGGGGAGGGCTAATTTCAGATGTTATAAAACAATTAAAAAAGTATTAATTTGGAATAAAAAGTGGGTATTCTTAATTAGAATACTATTTAGAAAGATGTGGTATGTGGTAATTTTTTTGAATAAATTGAGTGAAATTACAAGAAATATTGCATTTGTCCCCGCCTTAATTCCATTCGCAACAGTAACATCAAATACTGTATAAGGATAGGTTGTATCACATCACTGCTTTGGTAGGTGAATAAAAAAGTAAGTATAATACAGAAAAAGGTGTTGATTAATCATGTTAAGTCCTTTTCTTTCTTTTACAGTACTCAGTTTGGTGCGCGATATGGCTGGGATGGAATACATTTGTAATGTGTTTTTATTTAGATGTTGGAGTTTTAGATAAAGTAAGACATGCTTTTATATTGGAATATTTATGTTATATAATCATAATATGAAATTTCATTATTACTCTTTTTTATTGTAGAACAGTGATATTTTGAATATGGGGACTGGAAGTGTAAGTTGGTGGGAGATAAATGGCATTGGTTGCAAAGCCATTTATCCCACTAACTTAACAGCAGATGATCCTGATCCTTTTAGACCTCTAAGGCCGGAGCATGTGGTTGGTTGTATGTTGGAATATCAGTATGTGGAAGTATTGCATGCAGGATTTCAGTGTGTTCTCGCTGTAAGTATTATACGACTTTAAAATTCTCTATTTAGGGGCCATTAAAAAGAACACAATTGCTTTTGTGAGTTCCCGCAATTGGCAAAAAGAAATATGAGGGAGGATGGGTGAAGATAAATTAATGTTAGTGTTTGAAGTGTAATAAATCATGGTAAAAGCTGGCCTGGATAGCTGAAGTCTCTAAGGCTAAAGGACCGTGACTACCTTGGCTCCGAGGGTCATGGGTTCGAATACCGCCACCAGGCATGGATGTGTGTTTATGTTATTCTTATATGTTCCCCTAATGGTCAGGCGGAAGAGCAAGCTAAATGGTCTGAGCCTCGCCATCAATAAAGACATTATTTATTTATTTATTTACAGTTACCCCAACATTAAAATTCACATTAATCGTCAGGGCTCAGATTCTGATGATCTAAAATTTCTTCAAAATGACCTGTAAAATGGCTTCAAAATAAAAGGCAAATGACCTTAAAAATTACTTAAAAATAAGGGTGAAATTACTTTTTGTTAATAAATACTCAAAATTCAATTATGAACTTGGAGATGCAATGTTGGAATCAGTCTTATACTTTAGAGATTTGGGTGTTATTTTTGATCAAAAAATGAGTTTTCATCTACATATTGACAATATTATTAATAAATCAAATCAGGTGTTAGGATTTGTGAGACGTATTTCATCTGATTTTACTAATGTGCAAACCATCAAAACTGTATATTTAACTCTAGTTAGACCAATATTATTATATGGCTCACAAATATGGTCTTCCTTTTACCAGAACCATATCTCTAGACTTGAAACTGTTCAGCACAATTTTTTTTATTTTTGCTGCCTTCCATCTCCTAGATTTAGTCACGATTATTTCCAAGTCGCAACTAGATTGAATATTAGCTCATTACGCTCCCATAGGGATTATTTTGATGTACTTTTTCTGTATAATTTTATAAATCATGATATAGACTCTTCAGAATTACATTGTAAAATTCCTTGGGCTAATCCAGTGCGTGATCTGCGTTCTACAAACAGCATGTTATTTAATATTCCTTTTGAAAGATCAACCTTGTACTATTATGCGCCATTATGGAAAATGTGTAGAAGTGCCAACTGTAACCACATTAACTTATTTTGTTCACCTTATCAATTTCAGAAAACTTATAAAAACCTGTTACTAAATGATTTTCAATAATACTGTAATGTAAATGATATTTAATAATTGGCGATTGCCTGTAATTATATGTATATAAATAAATAAATAAAATTGTACGAAAATGCTTATTCATTCAATAAATTTTACAATTTTAAATAAAATTATTATTTAATTTTAAGTCTTTGTTTTAGAAGGAAATAAAATCTTGAGCTTCGATCTGCCAACCGTTAGTTTTGAAAGGTGAAGGACGTTATCGAATACCGATAGGTGTAATTTTGAGAGTTCAAAAAACAGAGGCCTCTGCAATAGTGAATTTTGTCATGAACCGATGATACAGTAAAAACTTTATCATTATTGATTGTGTCAAATTCATGAAATATTTACTAACAAAAAAACACAAACAGAAAACAAAATGCGTAAAAATGTCACAAATGATGCAAAGGTCCAAAAATATGACCTGAAATTGAAAATGGCAAAAAAAGAAATGTAGAGTTATTGGATCAATCACCTGTATGTGGTAATAAACATTCATTTCCAAGTTAGCTACATCTAGAATGCATCAATGAAAAAATTACGTCATCAAAATCCAAGCCCTAGTGATCACTACATGACCAAACAGTTAACAAGTGACAGTAAATAAATTAAAAATCATGATAAAGATTAGAGGAGTTGAAAAATTACAATATGTTTACTTAATTTTTCCTTCTTAGAGTAATATCATTTTAGCCTAGTCCATGTCCATTGAAATTGACATAGTGACTACTTCGTGGTGAACAGATTCACAAAAATCACCATCTTTCTTGGAGATACAACCTTCTATTGTAATACTATTTTACAAAATGTTAGAACAGAAATATCATGAGTGGAGAGTTACCCAATCTTTTTAATATTATCATTAAATATGATAGCAAGTGGTTAAGGAAAATTCCAGTCTTGTAAATTATCTCATCTCTAACTAATGTTGACAATCTTGCATAAATAATACATTATGATTCATATTCTTGTATAAATGTATGTAATGCATTTGTATGCATTGTTGTTGTAAATACGATCTGACTTTCAAATTTACTATTTTTAGATATTTGGAAGTGCTGGTGGCATATCATTGAGTCATGTGTTCTTGGAGGAAGATGACAGTTGTAAGTAAATATTTCATTCATATCTCATTGTTAAGGAAATTTGAACATATTTCTAATATCTTCAGTGTTGTTGTTTTTTTATGATGTTTCAATGTAAAATTCTTTTTCATATTCTGATATTTGCTTTCATAAATTATGAATAACAGAGAGCTTGCAAAAGTGGTGATATCTTCATTTGAAGTGAATCTTATGTTCTGATTCTTTATGGTGCAATGGTATCCGACAGTGGCGTAAAGTTCGGGCCCTCAAGGCTCGCAATGTGGGCGGGCCCTGGTAAGAGGGGGGGGGTCTTTTTTTAGGCTGAACGTCTGCTGATTGTTAGAAATATTAATTACTTTATACACTCTAATACTTTGTGATAGTTGATACAATATAAGGTTAAAAACATTTTCCAGAAGAACATCTTTTTCCACTTCGGTAGATTATGTAACCCTGTTTCTAAACCACTAAAGTAAACCATTCATTTAGGTTTAATTACAGTCTTCATTTCATTACATTTAATAATAAAGGCAGATTTTCCCATTATTTTTTACAAGCACTTTATCATTGTTAATAATAAACACAACACACAAACAGTCTTTTGATTGTTGTTTATTGCCATCTTATGTGATGATACTCAGACAAGAGCATTGCGACAATGCTTTTTAATAAATAGTAGTTAGAATTGGGGGGTTGATGCCATCATCTTGACTTATACAACTTTGTTTAATGCTTCAGTTAACGAGACTTAAATTAGATTATGCATTGCTAGTGTTGTGTGTGTGGATATTTTTAAGGGATTAAAGATTAATTTTATGGAGGGGGACTGAATAAAAGTTTTGCGGGCGGGCATGCACTCTTTTCATTACGCTACTGGTACCTTTCAATAATTGAGAAGTAATTAACGTGAACAAAATTAAACGTTAACAAAGTGAATTTTGGAAATTAAAAGATAATTAATGAGAGGTTGAAGTAACTTATTTAAAACAAAGCCAAATTCGCTGATTTTTCTGCAAAACAAGATTTTGTAATGCCAACAAGTTGGTTAAAAACAGAGTTTTGAATGAGGTAAAATGTAAGAAGAAGTTGATTAGAAAAGATGTAGGTGTGGGATTCAATGTTTTGCTTATTGCAATTTGATCCAATACCTATAACATGCAAATACTATATATTTGAGTACTGAAGAATATTGTTTTAAAGAAAATACATTGCACTTTTACTGTTTATTAATAATTTTTTATACATGATATTAACATAGCTATTTGTTCTTATAGATGGTTATTTCGTGAGATTTGTTTGGTTGTATCTTTGAACATTTTTGTTGTTGTTTTTCTTTTGATGTTAAAAGGGAGAATAACAAGGGAAAGATGCTAAGAATAATATATTTTATTCTTCCACTATTATTTTGAAGAATAAATTGCAAGATATTGAAAATATAAGTGGTGTTAATATTGTACTGTTAATTCTTTTAATTTAGTTTTTTTATGTCATGAACATTAACATTTTATGAAAATGGGTATGGTATAATTATGAAAAAATAATTTGCACCATAATTTATGGTGTTGATATTGCATTTATTTCAGTTGATTTTATTGGTGGATTTGACCCTCAGATGGTATGGTAAGTTATAATACCATAAAAAATTAATAACGTGGTGGCAATGTTTTGGTTTCAATTTTATGCATATGCAGTCTTGATGATCAATTACTGTTGCATTTGTTTTGTTACAAATAAAATTTGCATGTCATTGTAGACACCCTATCCAAATGTGCACCACTTATTGTTGTTTTTTATCTTTTTAATGGCATTCCCCACTATCAGCAGGCAGAGAGTAAACAGTCTTTGTGTGTATATTTGCAAGTGTTTAGTGTAATCGTTATGTGTAATTCTAATTCCTGGAGATAAATATTATGTGTAACCCGTGATATAACAGATCTACTGGTTTAAACTAATACACATAAACTTTAATCTCAAAGGACAATACAGACAGAAGCTGTATATGCATGAATACAATATAAATTTCTATTTACTTTTTAATTAACGTTGTCTTAACTTTCTCTAGTATAGTTATGGTCATTATAGTTTTTTGTTCTCATTTGTGTGCATTCTTCCTATTTCTCAAAATCATGGTGCTGATAAATTTTGTTAATATTTCAGATTATCAGAAACCATTGTAATGTCTGCATGTCAAGGGAATTAATGCATTCATGTTTTTTGTTTTTATTATTAGATGTAGTATTATGCAGAAGGCAGTGTACAATAATTTCTTTCTTTATTCATGTATGCATTTCAAATAATTCACTTATTAAGAACGTTAATGAAATAAATTATTATCTCAGGAAATATAATATCATAATTTCGCCTTATAAATATTAGTGCCCAGGTACAGTTTTATCCGATTACCAGAAATATTTCTTGTTAACATGTTATGTATGACACATGTTGAGTTTCAAAACAAAAGTTTTAGTTTATTAAAAATATTTATTTTTTGTTTGCTTTTTGGAACACTGATAACTTATCATAGTTTTAGAGTAATTAACATGTGATGTATTTCTAATGTTCAATGTATCTTCTCTTGCAGCACAAGTTAAACAAATTGGCAAAAGAAAAATAAGTTGCAAGAGGAAATCCTTGTACTCTGTTGAATTCAGTTCCCATAGTAATAACTGTGTGGGCAATGATTCAGTAGAGTACAGTGTAGAAAATGGAGGAAATGGTACATCTCAATTATCAGCCCCACATCTTTCACCTCGTCCAATGACACCTAGGAGAGTGAAACGCCGGAGTGTTATTTCTCGAGGATCAACTACTCGTAGTTCTCTACCTCTTTCCTATCCTGAGAAACGCAATAGTGTTAGGTACAACACTACCAGATCTTCTCTAAGAGCTTCAGGAAGAAGAAACAAAGTGCCACACGTGAGTCCTGTGTCTCGACTCATTGAGCAGCAACATACTCTTCAACAACGACAAATGTTAGAGTCATCAGAATCCAATGAATGTCACAGACTTACAATGATTGAACATTCATCATCTCAAATGGATTTACTTGTACCAAATGCTACTTCATCTCCTTGGAAAGTTCCCACGGGTCACACAAATCCATTATATCAACAAAATTCCTCCCAGTCATTGCAAGAAGATGAAGACTCTTATAATAATCGACCGTCATCTGCTAGATCAAGTTATTCTAATTACCATGGAAGTAGGCCTATAAGTTGTTATATGCCTGGAGGTGCACTGCCCTATTACATTGGTTTACAAGCAACTGGACAAGTGCCTGTTATAAATTCATTGCAAAACACTAATCAGAATTTATTGAAACCTAACAGACAAAACCCAACATTCTTGAATAATGGGCCTCCAGCTTATGCTGTGGATGGTGGTGTTACTTCAGAAACTGTAATATGAAGTTCACTGAATATGTTAAAAGTGTAAGATAAGTTGTTTCATAACCTCTTTTGCTGCAAATTTTTTTTTTAATCTTAATTTTTGCCTTCAAATATTTCTTTGTAAACATACTGAAAGCTGGTTTTTGACAGTTGTGAGGCTATGTGATATTGAACATGTGGGCTTAATTGACAACCTTGTGAGACCAAACCAAACCAAGTGAGAAAGAAATAGCAAGAAAAACGGATTGTTAAAAGAAATGTTCTTAAAGTGGAAACATTATGTAAATGTTATTTCCCAGGATTGGACACAAAAAACAAGTGCGTAACAAGATCATGGTAGGATGTGAGCCTATTGAATTCTTTTGATGAGATTATCAAATACTTTGTATAGCTTTTATTGAACTTTATCAGAAAGACTGTGGTGAAAAAGAAATGCCACAACAAAACTGAAAACCTGAATGAAGAATGAAATTTGAAAATGATTTTCCTTCATTAAATTACTTTTTAAAATAAACAGTAGCCATCACATCATACACAGTAAACTAGAACATTTTTTGCTAAATTAGACCAGCATGCTTCACAAATCAATGAACACATTTAATGAATCTGTTATTAATTGATATTAATGATTGAGAAAATTGTAAACTTTATCAAGTGTTCGTGAGAATTAGTTTTTCATGGGCATGAAATTGAATGTAAGATTGATTTTTATGGAAAGCATTATTTCATAAGAGTATTTAACTTAAAGGGAGTTTCTGTAAGTGTTTAACCTCGAAGCAAAGTGTCACTGCCATATTCAAATATCATATGCAAGGATTCATAAATAATATTATATTCAAGATATACAGATTGTGTTTAGTATGAATTGAGCAATGTATTAAGTGAGTTTTATGTTGTGAAATATTTTTAGTTTCACAGTTACTAGGTTCCAGTAACTAGACTGAAGTACCTCTTTCGTATGATGATGGATATGTGTGAATTATCATTATTTCTTAGAGAATGTGGTTGTTTGAACTCAAGTGATTATTACTAATTATTTGTCAAACATTGCACTGGAATTGTGATAAATTGAAATTTCTTTTATAAAAATTGTTTTGCTTTTTGAGGAATTTTGAAAAAAGCCCTTCCACTGATGTACACACAAACGTAAAACTCGTAGTACTAATAGTTGTAAGTTCACTTTATATAATAGTTAATAAACACCAATATTGTGATACTTAGTACATTTATTTCTGTTTTAATTTAACAAGCAACATTTAGATATAACTGTGTATTTTAAATTAAATATTTTCCAAATAATACAGTTCTAATGATCAGAAATTGTGTATTGCAAAATAGCTAAATTTTGTGCAAATGTATTAGGTACAACTATGTTGATTCCATGCCTTCTTACTAAGTAGTGACCTAATGCAGAATACATCTCTTGTTTCTGCCTACATATGTCTATTTCTCGCAATAAACATACGAGTGTAAGATTATTAAAAAATTATCTTTAGTTTATAAACTGACAACAATTATTGAATAATATATCACTTGCAACACATAGCAAAGGTGAAATTATATTTTTTAATTATATTTTTGTTGCAGCTGTGGTATACTTTTTAATATCACTGTATCTGTTTGATTTGGACTCGATCATTTAATTTATTATTCATGGTATACAAAGCTTTAGGACACTCTTCTTGAATATACTGCAGTAAGTTGTTAAAACTTCAGTAATTTGTATTTTTTGTGTTAAGTACTTGGAACCATTGATATTGATGTAATATTTCCTGGTAGTCTTGCTTTTTTATTTTGTTTTCTCTCAAAAATATTTATATAGTAGGTATGCACGGGCATTATCCAGTAAAATAAAATACATTTTTAAATTACATAAAATACATTGTTTGAAATAATTAACTGGCAGATGAAAACATCTTGTGAGCTGACAAATTAGATTATTTCTTCTCAGGTCTATAGATTGTTGTGTTTTGTGATTAGAATGAATTTATTTATAATATGCAAATACATAAAGTTGTATGTGTAATATAGGATTTCATAAAATCACACATTTGTTACACAGTGTAGAGTAATTTTAATTTTGATGAATTACTTATGATGTGACTTACTGAACAATTGAGCAATCATGAAAATATTTGGTCTTCCACTAAAGAAGTGCTACTAATTTTATGAATATTATGACCATAAATACTGTGTTCATTTATCTTTGGACCATCAGGTGAAGTATAATTTTTACTTGTGATCTGTGGTTTTGTGGTACTTAAAGGCAATGAAGAATCTTGTAGTATTTGAAATTCATTGTATATAAGAGTACAAAATAGGTAGTTACAGGTTGCCATAAATTGTAATATATGCTTTCAGATAAATCTTTGAAATTTCACTGCAATCAATCGCTATGAATTTATTGTACTTAATTGATCTTGTTAAAAAAGTATTTTATATTCTAACCTATGAGTTGTGTGTCATGTTGACTGTATTCGAAACAGCTATTGTAAAAATATCTTTCAAAATGTTTTATAAGGATCAAAGAATTGTAATACCAAAGTTTTATTTAAAGAATAGTTTACTTAATAATTTTTTATACAAAAATGTGTTAATTCTTTTAAACCTATTTCCTTTCCTTTAGAAAATGATTAATACATGGATAAATTATGGGCTAAGTTTATTATTTATTCTAGTTTTTTCTTAACTCCATGACTGATTATGTTAGCCAAATAAATGCACAATATTTTATTTAAGACTTCTAATGCATTATACATGCAGTGTAGTATAAAAAATGTTCAGTCAGTCAATTTTTGAGAATGCTTGCATATATCTTGTAGGCTGCAGATTACTGTCTCTACAGTTTTCACATATTTTTCCCACTTCTTCCCTCTTGTCTTTCTTCTAACATTAACTCACTCTTTTGTGTAACACAGGTGTAAACGCTAGATATGCGCTCATTAGACTTATGGGAATGTCATGACATTAACTATGGGAATGTCATGGCTTCACTTAACAGCTGCTACTGGTACGTTATATGAATTATTGTGCCTCCAGTGTTGTAGGCCTTCATGGGCCCACAAGGAATGAACTAAAAAACGTAACCTAATCTTTGAGAAGAATTCAAATAATTAAAATAATTTTAAATTATGGATTGTAATTATGAGCTGATTATGAAATAATTGCAGATTACAAAATTTAATTCTACAAAACTGTTAGCATTATTTCTATTAATTGATAAAATCATTTAACATGCAAATATTAATAATTAAATATATAAAAGACTGTCATATGTTTAAATGTTGAAACTAAGTATATGACTATCTATTACGGTTTGGTGACCACTGTGTTCATCAAAAGAATTTGGCAATATCAAGTTATACAACAATTTCAGGGTTCATTAAAAAGCCTCTTACCTTGACATGACATTGGTTGGGGGTCCTATGTGAAGGCCTTTCGTTTGCATGGTACAAGATTCATCATTAGAGAATTAGAGATATATTTCTTTTCTCATCTCATGTAGTTGCCAGTTAGAAAGACTTTTACTACCAAAAGGGTATATTGTTAGGTAGACCCTCATCGTATTTAAATAAGGGCAATAATGTTAAGGTTCCTACTATCTAGAACACATTAAGAGATACAAGGATGATATTGAAAATTATAGCAGAAATTGTTTCAACCCTTTCCTTCATGAGACATATTATCTTATAATAATTTAAATAAATTTTCAATAAATGATTAGTAGGGATCATTAATTTTCTTCTGTTGAAGGAAGAGTTGTTCTAAAATTTGAAGGAAAAAAGAAAAGAAAAAAAAAAAAAACCACCCTTAATCCAATTCCTTTTGCTTAACTGGTAATTAAAAGGTCCACAAATGTTTAAAAAATAATAGTAAAAATTGAAAAGAGTGAAGGATTATACTGAAACCCACATGTATTAATGAGTTCAAATAAATTCATGGTAGCATGAATTCTTTTAAAAAACCTAAGACTGGGTTGAAGGGGAAGAAAAGTATGGGAGGAAGGTCTTTAAATTTTATGAATATACATAACTTTCTACCATTTCTTGTAATAATTTATTAACAATTTCTTAGAATGTTAGCACCTTCAATCTTCCTGCTTGGGACTGTAAGTAATTTCAAAAATCCCAATGGCACAGACAAAAAAATTTTTTTTGAGGGGGGGGGAGAGAGGATATATGTATTGTCAGAGTTACAAAAAAATTATTCCCCAATGGAGGACATTTTACAAAAAAAAATGTGGACATTTCAATGAAAAGGAGCACATTTTACATTTTTATTCTCCATGATGTATAGGCCCTACACAATATACTCAACAATTCCAAACCATTAATGGTCTTTTAAAAGCATATTAAACTTTGCATTATTAAAAATGAAAGCTTCCAATTGGATATTTTTACCTGCGCACACACCTTCATTATCCACCAAACAACATAAATAGGTTTTATATCACAATAAACCTAGATATATATTATGCAGACCATTTATTTGAGTAAAAATGTAGATATTCCAGACATGATGTCCTATTAATGAATTAAATTACTTTAAAATTATACCAGTACTATTTTCAATTCAACAGGACAAGGACATTCTTTGTAAAAAAAAAAAAAAAGAAGGGGGGAGAGGACAGGAGGACAATGTTAAACTAGTTGTGCTACTGAATGGCTCAGACTTTCCTGTATTAGTTTTCTATTTCCTTTGATCTCGGCTTGCTATACGAATTTGCCACATATGCTTGATAGCTACCATCTATCGCAGCCCAAAGTACATTTTTGGGACATTTTCTTAATATGGCGATTATGTCATCTTATAGAGTGCATTTAGCACTATCCTTACCAGAAGTTTAAAGAAAAAGTTTGGAGCAGTTTTTGAAAAAATCTTGTTTTTGTGATTTTTTTAAAATGCACATATTGCAAGCGCGAAAACTACTAAAATTTTCAAGAAAATGTGCATGAACTTAATGAAAAAACTCTCTATGGAGAACAAATTTCATCTTCAATTTTGTACCTGTAAGATGATCTCGAAAAAATTCATTTTTTGAAATTTTCGAAACTTCAGAGTTAATCGTGAAAATCGGACCTTCGCCGCTTTTATTCTTACAAGAAATTTAAAGTTAAAAATTGAGCCGGTTTTTGACAAAATTTTGAAAATGTTCGAACGGCTCATGTAGAGTACCTAAAATTTGGAAGAATGGTTTTCAAAATCTCAAAGTTTTGGCTCGAGCCAGATGGACATCATCCAAAATTCTATGCATTGTTTAGGCGCTAGTAATGTTCACAGACACCAGACGGACGGACGATTTGAAAAAGCAAACACTTTTTCGGTATCAGGGGACTTCAAAACGTGTATTTGCATTGAAACCTCGAAATCGATTCTCCGCAAGATTACATAACTTTTCCTATACTGCGCATATTACTCCGTATATACGTATGTATACGGGAAAATTAAAACAAATGCTATAGTATAGAGACAATACAGAGTTCTTCCACGCAACCGATAGAAACACGTTCCTACTAGCGCTCATAATGTCAGAACCTGGTACTTCAGCGCCAAATAAAGACATCAATATGATTCTTACTGAAGAAATACTTTTTTAAAAAAAATTGATTCCACAAAATAAGACTCATTTTTTACCTACTTCTTCTGAGACTTAATTATATTTAATGGTTTAAATTCCGGAAAATAATAAAGTACAAAAGAGATGTTTTATATATTCCAAGAATAAAATGGTTACAAATGCAAGATTTTTCTTGCCTTAACACTTCCAGTGATACATTTGGTAATTTTCCATTTGCTTTCTTTGAAAAGCACTTTATCAATACATTATACCTCCGCTTATATGCAAATTAGTATACTCCTCTCATACAATATTTTCCAATTGAATATTAATGATTTGTATTAATTGTTCTTTTTACCTCTAGTGACGTAAACAATTAAAAAAGTCTCTATCGAAAACACACTTAATCTTAGAAAACAAACTAATAGCTAATTCATTTTGGTATAAGAGAGTGGCATTCACATACTGCTTAGTCAGAATACGCGAGTTTTTTAATTTATGCTTTTCATCTTCATTCAATAAACTACTTTTACGTGAAGAACGAACGCGAGTTCTTTTGAATTTCATATTTAAAACAGCAAAAAACTGCACAAATTTTTCCTGGCATAATGCCAAGAACAGTATTGTAAAATAAGTTTTCCAGAAATTGGCCAGAAAGACAATCAAATTTTAAAAAATCGAGCAGAATACAAACACCAACAGAGCACTGAGCTTAGGCTGTATGAGTTTTCACCAGGCTCTGCCACTAGATGGATCGGTGGCATCAGTGTTTCTCGATATATCGCGAAGTGTTCTGTATTGTCTCTATAGTATTTGGTAAAAAGGAGCCAAGTCCTCTAAAAGGACAGATGGCAATCCTGGGTATTGTATCCGAACGGCATTTTGTATTCTTATGAAAGAAATATGATGAATTAAAAATTGTATTATTATTAATTATTTTTATTGATAGGCACTTTTAAAGTATTCAATTGAAAGACTGAATGAGTTCCTTACTAAAGAAAAATTATTAAAATTGCTTGTAGTTTCCATTTTGTTAATATATGTGAGCGGCTTCGGGGGTCAGGGCCACTTTTTTAAAAAGTTATTTACGTCAAAAACAGTTAAAAACTGTGTGTGACGTGGATTAAGTTTATGAAAGTATTGACTAAGAAATAAAAATCATTACAACTTTTTGGCTCTTTGTTTTATCATGACAATTCTCTTTAATTTCATTTTGTCTGTTTTGGGAAATCGCATATTTGTCTATTGGAACGCAACGTGACTCAATGAGCGAAGCTGATACTAGCAGAGTTATATCGACAGCAACATTAACAATAAAAAAAATTAAAAGAAATAATCGAACTTTAGGTTAAGGAGAAGGATCTTGTAACTTAAATATTTACATTCATGAAATAAACCAAAACGTCTTAATCGTCATTTCAAGGTAGAATCTTAATGCTCGATGCTGTCTAGAAAGTCTTCATAAAATTGGACTTGTATTGTTTGGTACTTTTTGCACAATGTACATTTTTTCAACACCCAAATTCCTTCCGAGAAGAGAATCTTTGGGGCAATGGCATTTTCTCTTGCAATGACGTCAGGGAAGGAATGTTTCGAACTCGAAGGATCAAAGGGGCAGTGTTATAGTCGTCACAGTGTCAGAAGACGGAGAGAAGATGGCAGTTTTAAAGGAGGCTAGATTTAATGGAACAGTTCCTATTCTTTCTCTTGATAGTCCCGCAAAGACAGCCGAAACTGAAGACATCGATCCTCTTCACGATGAACTACATAATATTCAAAGTATGATTCGTTTGACGAGAACAAACATCGACGCTTTGAATGCCAAGTTTGCAGGTTTTCAACACCCACCATCTATGTATTTAACAGAATACCAAGAACTTACCAGTAAACTGCACGAATTTAAAGTCAAAGAACAGGAGTTAATTGAACTGATAAACAGTGGACGTGATAGTCCAGAAGAAACGTGTGACCGTCACCTGCTCGATCAAGGTAGCGGTGGGGACAGTTCTCCACGAATTGTGCCAAGATCTCCTTTGAAGTCCGTAGTTAGAGCTCACCTCCCAAACCAACAAAGGACTAGTGTTCAAGTGCGACCAGGTCAGACGCTGAAAGAAGCTCTAGCCAAGGCATTGAAATTGAGAAAATTGACCCCAGAAATGTGTATTGTGTATAAAGGGCATAGTAAAGTTCTGATTCCTTGGGAAGCAGATATATCATCCCTTGAAGGGGAAGAAATTACTGTAGAAATATTAGACAAGTTTTCAATAACTACAAGTATTTCTCATAATTTTGTTCGCAAGACTTTCTTTTCATTGGCATTTTGTGAGTGTTGCAGTAGATTATTATTTCAAGGATTTTATTGTAGAACCTGTGGTTATCGTTTTCACCAACGATGTGCAACAGGTGTTCCTGCTTTATGTCAGCAAGTTCGAATGCAAGATAATTATTACCAATTTTTACTTGCACAGAATCCAGTATCTTCTGCCGGTATCTTGCAAACTCCATCTTTCGGACCAGGCAATTCTTGTTCACCATCACAGCCACAGCCCATACCTCGTAGACATCACCCAACGCTTGGAACTAGAGAAAGGTCTAGCTCTGCACCTAATGTCTGTTATAATCTAGTCAGAGATGGTGGAGACTCAACAGTTGAAGAATTTTCCAGTCGTTTAAATCGCTCGAGTCCTGTGCCTCCAGGAGTAAGTGGTGGTACCTTGTCAACTTGCAGCCCCAGCAGCAGTCCAACTAAACCATCCCATAGTCAGAGTGCCCAGGCATCGCCCACCAACACTTTAAGACCATGGCGCCCAAGAGCTCGTAGTGCTGACGAAAGCAGCAATAAGGTGCGAACTCCTCGAGAATCCATTGAGGACTGGGAAATACCAGCTGATGAAATACTGATTGGCCCACGTATTGGCTCAGGTTCATTTGGAACTGTATACAAAGGTCACTGGCATGGACCTGTAGCTGTGAAAACACTGAATGTGAAGGATCCCACTCCTGCTCAGTTGCAGGCTTTTAAAAATGAAGTTGCTGTATTGAGGAAAACACGCCATGTTAATATCCTTCTATTTATGGGTTGTGTTAGCAAACCACAGTTAGCAATAGTTACTCAGTGGTGTGAAGGATCTAGTTTATACAAGCATTTGCATGTTTTAGAGACTAAATTTGAGTTACTCACACTTATTGAAATAGGGAGACAAACAGCACAAGGTATGGATTATTTACATGCAAAAAACATAATACATAGAGATTTGAAGAGTAATAATATTTTTCTTCATGATGATCTCACTGTGAAAATAGGGGACTTTGGTCTAGCTACTGTAAAGACACGCTGGTCGGGATCCCAGCAATTTCAACAACCCACTGGTTCTATCTTATGGATGGCTCCTGAAGTGATACGCATGCAGGAGGAGAGCCCATATAGTTTTCAGTCAGATGTGTATGCATTTGGTGTAGTGTTGTATGAACTTTTAGCAGGACAACTCCCATATGCCAGTATCAATAACAAGGATCAGATACTCTTTATGGTGGGAAGAGGATATTTAAGACCAGACCTCAATAACCTTCGGTCAGATACTCCAAAAGCTCTGAGACGACTCTCTGAGGACTGTATAAAACTGAATAGAGAAGAACGGCCTCTTTTTAGACAGATTCTTGCATCCCTTGAGAGTGCTGTACGCCTACTACCTAAAATCCACCGATCGGCTTCAGAACCTACATTGAACCGCACTCAGCTACAATCGGATGACTTTCTGTATATGTGTGCTTCTCCAAAAACACCCATAAATTCCCAGTTTGGAGCTTTTCCATTTTATTCAGTTGGAGGAATTGTATAAATATATCCTTAGTATTTTCCCATATCAGGTATATTTGAGAACTGTGTAGTGTGTACAATAAAGTTGTACAGTGTTTTATCATTTATGTCAAGTTTTAGGTACTGGAAGTTCCATAATTGAATTATTTATTTGAAGAAAGGCTAAGTCTAATATAGAGAAGAGAATGTTTTTATTTATTTTGCTTTAGAACAGTATGAATTCTGATTCTATTAATTTGGGGCAGGGCAAGTTAAGTAATATAATGTAGTTGTGATGTCTCTTTAGATAGTTTTTATTATTGCAGTTCTATGGACTTAGCCAGTTTTCTAAATAAATAATCAAGTGTTTTCTTCACTTACTATTTATTGTAACAAAATTCTTAGTTCTGCTTAAAATCCATAGCTTGGTAACCTCTACAATTATTTTTTGATAGTGGATAATACAAATACTTCTTATTTGCCACCAAATTACCTTGGTTTATTACAAAGAAAATGTACTTTGTTTCGCATATGAATATTTTGCACTTTGGAATTTGTTTGTGTATCATTTAATGTGATGAAATTATTGTAAATAATATACCAAGTTACGAATAATTTATTGACTTCTTGTTTTGGTAAGCTAATGTTGAAGTTGAAAGCATATTATGCATTGTTTGGGGGCACTAATGTAGTTGTCAAATGACAGACATTCGCCAATGGTGGTGTTGTAAATAAATACATGTATTGCCTATGTAGGCTTTTTTTCCACAGTTGGCTTTGAATAATAAGAGAGGTTAAAAATACGTAACTAAATTAATAGTGACATACCTTTCCTTGTGATTATTGTAGTGATTTTTGTGAAGTTACCAGGTATGTTTCATTGTGTAAAAAAAAAAATTATATATAAAAAAAAATTTAAAAAACATTATTTCAATTCCATATTGCAGAACAAGTTCAAATTATTAATTTTTAAAATTACATTCCAAATTGTGACAGCTTTATGTGTACATTACTTTCTAACATGGTATAAACTTTTTATGCTTGGTCACTACTTTTCACTGTGAACTGAAAATCAAATCTATTGCATCTTGTAATAAGATAGTTTCCAGCCTGTTGCACACAAGCAATTTCTTGACCAGTGTGCAAGAGTTATATGAATTAAAGTTTCCTCCAAATTCTGAAGACTTGCATCAGTTTATCTTATCAACCTGTAAATAAAACCATTGACTTCGGGCGACCAGAAAATAGACAGGTTGTTTTACTATATACAATATAAGATATATACTACAGCCTTCTGGAGCTCCAATTGCCAACTGGTTTAAAATATGGGTTTTAGAGGTAGTCACATTCACTTGAAACTTTATTCAGTGAGCATTTTGAAGAATGCAACACCAATCCATTGTCACGTAGAAGTATAATACTGTTCTTAGTATAAGGTAATTGTACAGTAAGCTTAGGTGCACTTTTTGCATAAATCAGGTTTGTGTCTGTGAAATGATGGTTCTCATTTTTAAATACATACTTGCTTTACTCTAGGAAAACTTTAACCAAATGCTTGTCCCCTGAACATGCAAAATGTGAATGTAAACTGCTTATTGCAAGACCTGTGATAAAAAGGAGCTTCAAATGTGAAGGAAGGACCTGAAGAAACATTCCTTTTGGATTTTCATTGCTGTGAAGGAAGACGAGAGTAAACTTGTCACTTGACCGTTTTGGATGATTGTGTGATATTTGTCATTGCTTCACATTTTTTCCAGTGTTGAGCTGTATAAAAGAATCATTTATGATTTGTGTATGTCTTACTTTTCTGGTCTGAATTTAATGTTCATGCATAGGTTATCAAATATTTCCAATAAATCTCCAAAGTGGTAGTACTGACATTCATAATTATTACCATATGGTTTATATCCTCCTTTATCATTTCAGGTTTGCCAATTATAGAAATATTGCGTAGTTTTTTGCACCATCTGTTGATGAAAATTGCCTTGCCTGAAGTTGCCTAATCGGATAACCATTGATGAATTTTTGTGATTAAAAATGATAAATTAATATTTCACAATTAAAGGTATGAAATTTAATTTAAATTTGATTGCAGATGCATTATTTGCATTTTCTAGCTCCATATTAATTTTAAAATTTTCAGTTTAACTTGCTTCATTTAAAAAAAAAAAAAAAAACTGTTTTGCTATCAGGGGACCCCAAACATGTACTTCCACTGAAATCTCATAATTGATTTTCCGCAGCATTACATAATATTCCCTATATTACCTATATTACTCAGTATATATGTACGTATACAGGACAGTAAGAAGCAAATGGTTTACTTTCGATATATTATATCTGTTCAAGTCTAGCATCCCAAATCCTTGGTCTACAGAGTCATGATACTTTATCTCACAGTTTTCAATAATTTTAAACGAATCATTCTGTGTGCATAATATATTGATTCATAGTGAAATTCATCTCTAAAAAAGAAAATTGTGAAGTGTCTAACCAATTGGAACTTGCACAGATTTGAAGATTAATGCATTAAAATTCTCAATGTGGATATTTTAAAATTACTAAACAAATACTGTATTTTTACTAAAAACTTGAAAAATGGACTCTCTGTTCAGTTACCATATAGAGTAAATATTTGTATCATAGGACAAAGAGCGCTAAATCATTATAATTACTGTGAAAGTTGAAATATCAAAATTCTATTCAGTTCTACAACTGTTCAATTGCATGGCATTTGAGAGAATGTTTGAATCTTAGCAGGTGAACATTTATAACATTGTAATAACAAGGATTGATATAGATGACTTTCCTTTTATTGCTATAAGTTTACACTGTTAACAATTTTCTCCCAATTTTAATAATTTTACTTAATTCGCAACCAGTATTGATTTCTGTTCCAACACATAATTAGACCCAATAAAAGCAATGTACGTGGGAACAAAAAAGTAGGAACAAGAGGAAATAAAAGGAAGTAGGCTACAAAGTTCTTCAGTGTAAATAGTGTTCAATTTTCTTACAGAATGAGTCAGGCCCACTTTATAGAAAATGTATTAGAACTTTGAACAAAAAATCTGAAATTATATTTATAATTAAATAACAATAAAAAATTGTCTGAAATTAAACCAAGGAAACATGCTGTTTATTAAAATTGGTAATACTGACCACAAATGGCACAATATTGATAACAAATGAAAGTAACTTAAAATTATGACAAAATTCTTTTGTTTATTGTCAAAATGTTCTTATTATGAAAAATCTCAAAGAGATGATCTCTCTCAGTCCAACCTTTTTGCACAGGTTCAGATCTTCAATTCTGATATACAATTCTTAATATGACATTTCACTATCCAGACTTGGAAGTTGACCATCTCCACTGAACAGAAAAAAAATAACTAGAGAAAACAAAATACTATCAGTCAGTCAGCCAGATTGTTTCATTGACATATAAATTATCTATACAAAAACAGGCCCAGAGTGACCAGCGAACTGGCTTGTTGAAATTCAAGTTTTTACAGGTTGTTTTGCACTGAATAACACACATTTTTCTGTTCACCACTCATGCCCTTTTTGCTCGCAACCGATACTAGAGTGTAGAATTTTGTACAAAAATGAGATTTTCAAAGCACTTTTTTTTTTGGGGGGGGGGAGGTAACTGGAAGGGTCTGAATAAATTAATACAATACAACTCGATCACATTAATCTGATAAGTTTCGCAGGTATGAAAACCACAAACTGGAAAATGGATAAATGTGATAGCATTTGAAATACTTAAATTTGGGAAATCGATATGAGAAAAAACACTTAATGGATTTATTTAAAAATTATTCATTGTATTTGGAAAAATTATTTACTAATGTAAATTTCTAGTTAGAAAAAAAACACTAGTTACTAATATTATTTTCTTACATCAAGTTCCCAATTTCAAATTCCAACTATGCAATTCTAAATATGGTTTTCTGAAGTAAAGTTTAGTCTGCACATGCCTACCATATATATATATATATATATA